GCTCAAGTGGTATAGCACTAGCCTTGAGCTGAAGAGCTGAAGGACAGTGCCCAGGCCCAGAGTTCAAGCCCCACGACCGACAAAAAAAAAAAAAGTGTGAGTGTGTTGGGAATGTGGGAAATGAGTGGTTCTTGCTCACACCAAACTTCTAGGAGAACTTCCCAGACTCCTGGAGTCTTCCACTCAGTTCTTTGTATCTTTCATCTTCTTCCCAAGACTACAATAAATAATCCTCTGGATGGAGACCAGGAGAGCCTCTAGCTCTAGAGGTGTTACAAGCCTCTCTCTTGGGGTCTGTCCCCAACCCATTATCTCCTCCTGAGGGCCCAGAGACATACAGCTTCCTGACCTGATAGAAGGCAGTCTGCAGCCCCCACAGAGCAAAGCACAGCTAGACGGCCTCCTCCTACATTCTTGAGGTGAGCTACTTCCTGTTTGCCAATGGAGGAAGCTGCTAGGCACAGTAGTAGCTTTCTCTCAAAGCCAGAAGCTGCCCCTGAGTTTTATTGCTCAAGGCTAGTGTTCTACCACTTTGTGCCACAATGCCACCTCGAGTTTTCTGGTGGTTCATTGAAGATGAGTCTTATGGACTTTGCTACCCAAACTGGTTTCAAACCCTGATCCTCAGATCTCAGCCTCCTTAATAGTGAGTATTACATGTGTGAGCCACCAATGCCCAGTCCAAAGCCAGACGTTTTTAAGATGGCACTTTACGGCAGTCACTTACCACAGGTCTATATTTCTCATGTAGTTGAGTTCAGCTTCAAAGTTATTCACTTTTATCTCCCATCCCCTTGGCATAAGAAGGCATCCACAAAAGATGCTAAAGCACATGTGTACACCATCACTTATAGCAGTCAAAATCCTCGCCCTCCAAATTCTCAACATCTACAAAAGGAAACTGGACTAGTAGATAATAGTATAGCCATATGGCAGAGCCAAATGGCTTGTTTTTTTTAGTACTAGGATTTGAACTTAGGGCCTTTGGGCTAGTACTGTAAGCCATGCTTCCAGCCTGGCTTTTGCTGTTTATTTTAGAAACAGAGTCTCACAAGACCATGGCTGAAATTGAATTACAATCTTTCTGAACTCAGCCTCTTCTGACTAGCTACAATTGTAGACATGAGTTACCAGTGTCAGGCACAATCTTGCTTTTGAAGAATATTAAGGAAATGGGAAGATGCTTATAACATATTAGTAAGAAAACTTTACATATTCAATATGACCTCAAGCTTTTGAAACCTTGCTTATACACTTAGATA